TATATATATATATATATATATAAGAAAAATGCATCATTAAAAAGTGTGGTAATAATTTATTTCAGACAGTCAACTGCCTCATCAGAACGGAGTTATAAAAACTAGAAAACACTATAAATTTATAACTTATAAAAAGTTATAACTCCGGTCTGATGAGGCAGTTGTCTGTCTGATATAAATTTTTAGCGAATATTTTAATGTTGTATTGACTTTTTCCTTTGATGTCTACCCTATTACTCTGTATTTTGATATATTGAGCTCTTTTCATGGATCTATTTTTTAATATTTTATATTAAAAAGACTTTTAAAGTATCCTTACCACTTACGGATTTGATATCATGATATATATATATATATATATATATATATATATATATATATATAGAGAGAGAGAGAGAGAGATAGATAGATAGATGTGTGTGTGTGTGTGTGTGTGTGTGTGTGTGTGTGTGTGTGTGTGTGTGTGTGTGTGTAAAATTTCAGGTATAACTAAATATCTGAAAAGGAAAATTTGAATAATATTTTTCTTTTGTCTGTATTTGATAAAGACAAAAAATTATCTTAGCCGGCGCGTTTCGTCCTCTGAAGGACTTTATCAAGGCAAAAGCAACGATTTTATTTTGTAACAAGTATTTCTGTACACGAGTAAAAATGTTATTGATTTCTCAAAATTTTTAAATTTAAGAACGCTGATAAATATTCATCAGGTTCGCCTTGAAGTCAGACAATCTATGGAGGACGCGAAGTGAGACATATGAAAGTCAGTAAATGATGATTTCTTAATGCAAATTAGTATTTAAATTATTTTAGTTTGGGATTAATTTATGTGTTATACATTTTAAATAACATGAGTTTATGAATTTGACTGTTCTAAGCGACACATTTTATTTATATTAGTCTTTTTATATATATATATATATATATATATATATATATATATATATATATATATATATATATTAAAAAGAAGAGAGAAACCGTAAAGGTTTTTGGTTTTAATGTGGAATTTTTTTTTAAAATATTATGCTTTATTTTCCATAATTTTGCTCCCCGTGTTTCCAGTCTCACGACCGTCATCAGGCAAAGCGTGGAGATTTTCACATCTTATTTAAAATATTTAATTTTTTTCTTATGTTTTTCGATGTTAAATATTCTCGATATGAGACATTCTCTTTTTTGAGTGTCAGTGACCCAAATGTCTTTCTTGAACTGGCAGTGAAAAGTTCTGCGTGAAGCGTTATAAAACAATTATGATTGGTCTGAGAAATGGTGAAGGAGTTATCGGGATTCTTATCTTTTAGTGACCCCTGTGTGTTCTTAAATCTATTTCCATTTTCTTGTGCTTTTGTCAGCATGCGTGTATATATGTATATTCCGTCTCCATACATACACACTGTTTTATTACGAGGAATTAGTAAAGACATTTGTACACACACTCACATATACACACACAAATACACACACGCACCGTCCTATTAAAAGGAATACACACACATACATACGTACATACATATGCATATACGTCCCAAGTTACATGGAATCAGTAAACACACACATACATACACACATATATACTTACATACATACACACATACTTTCTAAGTTGTGTGGGGTTTGCGTATGTGCCCGTGAGTAGTTCCCTTGCTTTTGTCAATATGTGTATTTATATATTCGTGTTTCACAGATACCCGCATGTGAGCGTGTGTGCATGCATGTGTTTGGTTTGATCACTGTATTTGGACATTATGTGCGCATGTTATGTATTTTTGCAAAAATTCCACCCATTGCCTGATGACATCGCGAGACCGGAAACACGTGTAGCAAAATTATGGGTAATAAAGCATAATATTTTAAAAAAAAGAAAAATAATCCACATTACAACCAAAAACGTTTGCGGTTTCTCTCTTCTTTTTAATATACACACTTTTCTTTCTTTGGATCTACTATAACCTCTTCCATTTTTATATATATATATATATATATATATATATATATATATATATATATATATACAGGGCGTCCATAAAGTCCATGTGCACTTTAAAAATTTATAACTTAATTTGTATTTGAGATAGAAATAATCTGTAAAAAATGTTATAAAGTTTAATGTACCTAGTTTTAAGTATAGCTAAAATAACTAATGTGATTTCAGGCATTACTGTAAATCAGTTGGCAAATGTTTTTCGTGAACCGCAAAATCGTATTACCCTTTGTATTGCTAAGGATGGATGATATGTGAAAATTTAAATAAAACTTCAATAAAACCTTAAAAAATATAGATTTACTTCTCTCTAATCCTTTTTCCATATTATTTCTATCGCAAATACAAATAAAGTTATAACACGAACTTTATGGGCACCATATATATATATATATATATATATATATATATGGGAAATTGTATGACGAAGTGGAAAAAGTTACTTGTGACGCGTTTCGTCCTTCAGAACTAAATTTGTTATGTTGATACGACTACACATGCGCACGAACGAGGGATGGTGGGATTTTTTTTTTATCTAGTCGAATTCATTTAGATTCTTTTGTTAGTCGATATCCCACACTGTAATACTAGAAGTTCTGCTAGGAATGGTGAAAACGGGCGCAAATTCAATTTGGATGACTTTGCAATCAATTACACTCTCTAGACATTTTCGTCGTAGTGAATTATTTTTTATTTGATCAGAGTAGCATCTTTTATGTCGAAATTGTTGTCAGTCTCGTTACGGTAGGCAACCAACGCATTTGACGTATTGCTTTGGAGAGTTGAGTTAAAGGGAATTAACTGAGATATCCAAAACTAAAAACATCTACCCCGGTGGACGAAATAAAGGGTTCGTTCCGAAATTCCAATCACCTAAAGGAGGTCGGAGCGTACAACGTTCAAAACGTTGTGAATATGGCAGGATAAGATGAGGATAAGAGTCCAAATAACGCAAATAATCCAAGTAATCATAATACTTCATATCGGAGATATACACAGATAATGAAGAAAAATTCCAATCGTCTAAAGAAGGCTGGAGTGTACAACGTCCGAACGGTTGGCAATGAATATGAGGATAACAGTCCGAATAATGTAAATAATGCAAGTAATCATAATACCTCATCTCAGGAGATATAGACAGATATTGAAAGCATGGCACATGGAACTAGAACAATCTACCCTAGTGGAAGAAATAAAGGTTTTGGTTCGAAATTACAATCACCCGAAGAAGGCTGGAGCGTACAACGGCCGAATCGGCGTGAAAATGAGGATAACAGTCCGAATATTGTAAATAATGCAAGTAATCATAATACCTCATCTCAGAGATATAGACAGATATTAGGACCAGATGAGGTAATCGTTAGCAAAGAAATAAAGACCTGTCAGATAATGAATGTTGCTATTCCAGTGAAAGAGAAAGAATGTAAAAAGATAGTGGGAGCCTTAAAACGTGCAATTGACCAATGTGTCCATCGACGAATTTGAAACAGCGCTGAAAAACTTTACATGAACGATGGACGAATTGGAAATCCTTCTAAAAATTTAAACCCGACTTTCAGTATTACTAAAATCAGCAAGAACGCTGAAAGAGAGCTGTGATGGAGAGAGGAGACATGCTGTCATTTGATCTCAAGTGAAACCCAGCAAAAACAACTCAAATGCAAATACGACTAGCAAATTAAGTTATTCAAATGCCAATTCAGCAGCTGAGTTTGTGGTATGTTTTCCACCAATCCCATTGGTCGTTGTTCTAGCTCAGATAAAATTCAATATTTCAAATGTTGCTTTTTAAAAGAC